GCCTCCAGGGAAGCAGACCAGGCAGACCCAGCAGCATCTGTGTGCTCAGCCCATGCAGTGCCCACCTGCCTGCTGTCCTAGACGGGCCCCAGGGCCTGACACGCCACGGGGTCCGGCCGCCCTGGGGGTGGCACTCATAACATCTGCTGTGCTCCTGGGACTGGGCTGGGAACCTCTGATCTGACAACCTCCTCTCCACCCCTCGCGGGAGCAGCTGGTCCCCCTTTCACAGAGGCAGGGACCAGGGGTCCTGGCGCCGAGTCCACTTGGCTGCAGAAGCTGTGCCTTTGCCTGGTGCCTGTGCTCTCAGGAATCACACGCCCAGGCTCGCTGTTCTCTCTTGCTCTCACAGTGGGGACACCGAGGCTGAGGGAGGGAGATTTGCCCATAGTCTCACAGCCCGGCCCGCCAGCCCACCCCCAGGGGCCCGCCAGCCTGAGCCTGCTCCCCAGCTCCCTCTCCTCCCTCCCCAGCGGCACCTTCGAGCCCCTTCTCCCCAGAGGCCTCCAGCCCGCTCCTGCCCATGCCAGCCGAGTTCTTCCACCCCGCCGTGTCCTCCAGCCAGAAGGGGCAGGAGAAGGGCGCCGGGGCCGGGGCCCTCCCCAAGATCGCCCTGCAGGGCTCCTGGGCATCCCTGCGGTCACCGAGTGTCAACTGCACCCTCCTCCGGCAGGTAAGGCACCTCCCTGTCTCCGGGATCCCCCTCCTGGGGGCATCTGAGTTCCCGCTGGAGGTGGAGGGGCAGGTGGGCGATGGGAGGTTTGGTCTGGGGGCCACCTGTATTGGATTGGCAGGGCCACACCCGGGCATGCAGAGGGCCCTGCAGCCCCGAGACCCCGTTCTGTGGGTGGCAGACCCGGGCTCGGGGCTCAGGGAGAGGCAGGAGCTGCCCAGATGGCACAGTGTGGTGGAGGCAGGGCTGGGCCCAGGGCTCCTCCAGGCATTTGTTCACGCAGTAGCGGTCAACCCCAACTGCGTGCCCCACTGCGTGCTGGGCTCGAGGCTGAAGCAGCATCAGAATGCGGAGTCCCTGCCCTGGGGGCTTACATTGTGTTTAATGTATGAGTTCGGAGGTGCATAGATCAATGCCAAGATCAATGGGTAAAGAGTATATAGTCTGTTTGGTAGCCACACTCACTGGGGAGATCATTGCACAGGAGAGGGGTCTATGGCGGGAGCAGGGGCGCTGGGAGTCAGGTGGAGGGGCTGGGAGGGCCTGAGGTGGGAGCACGGGGGTATCTGGGATGGGCTTTCCAGGCAGCCTGTGAGCAGAGGTGGGGGGCGGTGGGTGGTGGGAAGCTTGGTGCGGAGGGGCGGGCAGGACCCTCAGGCCAGGGTCTGACTGGGTTTGAGCAGGCCACTTCCGGCTGCCTCTGGGGCCAGAGAGCAGGGTGGGGAGAGCCGGTCGGAGGCCCCTCAGTGACTGTCAGGAGAGCCACGCTCAGGGGCAGTGGCTGGGAGGGGAGCAGCAGGGGGTGCGGGGTGTGTGGGGAGGCAGGTCCTGAGGGCCG